TATTGTAAACAAAAGGTTTGACATGTAATAGCATTTTTTCCCACAAAATATTATTGTATCACTTAACAGATGAGAAATATGAAGTCATAATTTAATAGATATATACTGTATTTGCTTATGTGTAGGAAAAAGTTTTCATTTTAATCCTTAAAAGTGAAATCACATGTTACAGAATCATGAATTCCTCTATTTATTTTGGTTTCTTACAATAGCAAGCGAATGCCTCCTTAGTGAAAATGTTGCCCTTTTTTCCCCACCAAGTCTTTATAAGTACTTATAATTTTTCTGACATATTCTGAAATTTTCTTTATGCACATTAACATTACTAATAAAAATATACTGTAAATTCAAAACCAGATAGAAAAATAATAGAATTTTTAGAAATAAAAAATGTAAAGTAAAAACTCAATAGTATAAAAGGCTTACAACTTAGAAATTAACTTAAAAACCTAAATGCAGATGAACTATAATTGAAGAAAAAATTAGAATTTTTGCAAAAACCCAGCAAAAGAAACAGGTGACGTAGATCAAAGTACAGACCACTGATGGTAGTATAAGAGTTCACACTGTATCCTATCTAAATGACAGAATTGGGCCAGCTAGTGGCATGATGATTAAGGTGGCTGTATGCCGCATGACTGGCCATGTGGTGCAAGTCTCAGATCTGGTGGCTTGAAAGCTAAGCTGGATGTGTGTACATGAGTGCCCCAAATCCGGAGGAGAATGGAGGAAAAGGAATTGTGGTGTGGACACATGTGCTTTTTCACCTTCCCTCTCTCTTTCTCTGCCTCTCTTCCGAGAGCACACATGCCAAAATAAAACAAACCAAGGGACCAGCAGTTGGCATAATGGCTATGTTGCTGGACTCCCATATAGTTGACTATGGTTTGAGTCCTGGAGCCGGTGGGTTAAACTCACACCAGACGTGTGTGTGTGCATGCGTGCACAAAATCCCAAGAGGAGAATGGAGGAGAAGGAATTGCGATGTGGCCATCCCTCCTGGAGGGTGATTTCTCGCTTTCTGTCTCTCTGTCTTTCTGGCGAGCGCACACACCCTATAGCAAAAACCTCTAAAAACAAAACAAAAGCAAAACCAAAAATAAACAAACCTAAATGACAGAATTAAAGCAAAAGAATATGGATTGGAGAAATACTAAGCAATATGAAATATATTTAGAAGAGTGCCATCATGGAAATGCACAATACCAAAGACAAAGACCACCAGGAAAAAGAAAAAGATAGTAAACTTAGAAATTCAAAACTTAGACTCATAGCTGAGTTCTCAAAGGCAACATGTGAGAAAAAAAATAGTGGTATGATAGTATTAACGTGATGAGATAAAATAGTTGCACACTTAATATTGCATATTTGAGGGTTTGGTGTGGGCTAGAGAAGCTTTAAGTATTTAGAGGAAAAAATAGAAGATGATGTCAAGAAAAGAAACATTATGGCTAAACGTCTTTAGCCATTAGCACTTTGAACATATGTGTATCAGGAGGGATGATTATTCTAAAAAGAAAAATATGAATGTGAGAATGAATATTTTGTTAAAAATGGTAAGCCTTGATAAAGCTATATAAGTGTGGGGTACTTTGATTGAATATACCAAATTATAGGATGTTTTCTAACTTTAGAATAATGACAAATTATTTCTAATGAAGTCACTCAAAACCATTAGCATATAACAGAGCACCCCATTCAGCCAAGAGCTGATTCATCTTATTGTGAACTTACCTTGCATTTCCCCTTCACTGAGTGCTTTTTTTGGTGTCTGTTCACATCAAAGGATTTTATCATTTTTTCTGGTAATGTGGTGAATTATAGCAGTTGAGAAGATATGATCAACTTTGCCTTAATATACTGTTTTATATACTGATGAGTGTGACTTATTAATGCTGTAAAATTCTATTTTAACATATAAAAAAGTTTCTGAAATATCTTTTTCCTAAAAGTAAGAATCTTACTGTAAAGTTTATGGGATGAGCCAGTATGTGCAGAACTGTGCACCGTTTCTGGAAGATTGTGGCTCCAGAAGTGAACCCTGGACTAACTGCGGTTTGCTGCCATCTGGTGGTTCTTGCCCATTATAACTAAGTTTAAGGGAAAAGTCTGGGTAGTGACAGAAGGGAACTTTTAGGACAATGGCGAACAGTTCAAACTATTTCCTACTTTGTTTCCACTCCTCTCAGATTGTCCTGAGCAAGAAAGAATGACTGGCAATAAACCACAACTGGAAAATTCTTGGAAGGGATATTTATAAAACTATGCAATGTGAACATACTTTCAGAAGAATCTTTATAATTAATTACATTGAGTATCCTTGGGAAAAATTGTTATCATCAGGAGCAATACAAAGACCTAATTCACTGATTCTTAGATGTTCACAAAGTGATTAACTTTATTAGAATCAGTGAGAATTAAAAAAAATAAATTAATCCTTTCTCACATTCATCTCTTTGATATTTTTTCAATATTTTAATTAGTTAAGGATAAATCGTGACCCAGGAATCAGTATTAAAAACAAATCAAAACAAAACCTCCCTAGATGATTCTGAGATTTGAAGAAGTTCAGTGAGCACTGACCTAATTGACCTCCAGGGCCCTTTTCATTTTTCAAAAAGAATATATATATGCACAGACTTTATGATTAATTTTATTGCTTTTAAGAATAATTGCATGGCTAGATCAAAGTACTTAGTGCTTATGGTGGATATCATGTAGGAGAAATTCTCAGTTATGTCCTTGCATAATAAAAAGAGTAATATTTTCCTTTCGTTCAAACGAAAGGACCAGTTTAAGATTCTGTTTGATTCTATTAATAAGGAAGAGGTATAGGAAACTCAGGAATAGATAATTCTCTTCATTGAGTGTACTTAAATACTCAAATATATCTATTAATATATACACTGTAAAGCATTACTGCAGTTAATTACACTTTCATCAAAGAGTTTCTGAAGAATCATAAGCTTTTTGAGTCCTTCAATGATCCTTCCTTTAGACTATGCTGGATTTCAAGTAAGGTAAATGGTTTTTAAAAATTAAAATTTTTTCTAAAGATAGTTTATGTAATTTAGCAAAGATTTCTCTTTTTCACTCATTCTCTCATATATCAATGTTTGTTGAACACTTTCTATTTATCAGGTGCTATATATTATATTTAATTCATACACATCATTTAATGTAACTCCTACAACCATTCTATGAATTACATGCCGTACATCATATTTTGCTGATGAGAACACAGAGGCTTATGGAATTTAAACAATTTATACAAGATTACTCAGTCAGTGACTGGCAGAGCATGGATTAAAATTCAGGTTTATATAAATTAAAACAATGTGTTTTTAACCTTAAACCACTGGCTTCATAAAAAAAATAGCAGAAGAAAAATCAGTTTCTCTTCTGATTCCATTAGACTTTTAAGTTTATAAAAATTCCTAAATAAAATATATAACTTCAAATATGATATTAAGTTCTTTGAAGGGAAGGAAAAATTCATTTGTTAGTTCAGAAATTAAATGTAGTAATGGAATTACAGAATTAAAATATATTTTTACTACTTTGCTTTAACTTTTCACATATTATAAAGATTGTTTTATGTCTTCAATATTTTATATTAAATATTGATAGTTATAAAAAAGCAAAATCAGAACCTATATAGTAGAGGTATTTTGCCCTATTTGCATTATTGTCTCATGTTTTCTTAATAATATAAACAGGAAAGTTACTTCTTGTTGGGTAACATAATCTAATATTTAAACCATAGTGCTTCTATATAAACAAATAGTTTATATGTTTAAGATAGTAAAAAGAAAAAATATGCTTTTGAGAAATGTACTAGTAGCTCCAAAGAAGGAGCTAACATTCTGAGATTAGGAAATTGAGCAGGAGATAAGAGTTTGAACCGTGTATTGATTAATGATGGGGATAAGAGTTTAATATATCACTTTGGATGATATTTTCAAGACTGGTGCTTTATTCTACTTCATGAACTGCAATCCTATGTTTTCTAAAAGTTTTTAGATAGCAGAATGTTTTAAGAGAGCCAAATTAACTGCATCTTGTGGTCAAGAAAGGAACTGACCTATGTTTTCACCCAATTTTCTATTTCTACAGCAAAAAGAACTTTATGATTGCTTGTGTGTGCATATGAGTATAATATATATCATATGTTATGTTATATATCATTATATATTTACAAATATTTATATCATCATCTATGTATCTATATAAAATTCTTTTTTTAATTTGCTAAAGGGAAGTACACTCACTGGAGAGACACAGAGAGAGAGGTGAAGTAAGAAAGCATCTTCCCATGGGGATGGTCTCACTTAAATCCCTTCTCCTCCATGTTTCCTGGATTTGGGCATGCACCCATATGTACTCAGTATGTTTTTTAATACATCAGTTCTGAGACTTGACCACATAGTCAGCCATGTGGGATTCAGGCACCTTAGCCACCACTCCAAGGGCTGGCCCAGTGTCTGCCTGTTTCTTTATTTGAGTAATACTTGTTGTTCAAGATGTTCAGGTCATTATATATACCGTGTTTTGCACTGAGTTTCAGGTAATCCTCACAACAGTTCCTTAAAGTAGGTATTACAAGTCCTCTTCTCCCCATTGACAGAAGGACTTTTGAGGCAATGAAAGTATAAGCAGTTATTTTATATTCTTTTAGATTAAAAGATTAAAACTTGTACAATGTTCCTCTGACTTCAAAGCTCTTAATAAATGATGTAAAATGAGGGACAATATCAATGTCGAAAACACAACTTTGTTCATCTACATTTTCATATGATACTGAAACTGTATACATTCTAATAAACCAAAACAACCTCATTTTGGTTGTATATGCAGTGTTTCCAAATGTAAAGCTTGTCTGTCAGATATGCTGCCAAGAAAACATTAGCATGTTTTTTCTCATTGAGAAATTCAGAATCAAAAGTTTTATTTCCATAGGCTTTGTGACAATAGACTCATTTTCTCAGATAGGTTTCAGTATGACGAAAGAGCTGCATAGAAATGATTCAGAGTTGACAGAGTTTATCCTGCTGGGATTCAGAACATCTCCAGAAGTACAGATTCTCTTATTCTTACTGTTTTTACTTATCTACATCGTTATTGTGCTGGGAAATATCAGCATGTTAATTGTCATTACAGTAGACTCCAGACTTCACACACCTATGTATTTCTTTCTCAAAAATTTGTCTTATTTAGATCTCTGCTACTCCACAGTCATTGCTCCCAAAACTCTGGCTACTTTCTTGTCCAAGGAAAAGAAAATTTCCTATAATGGCTGTGCAACACAATTCTTTTTCTTTGCTCTCTTTGTTGGAACTGAAGGTTTTCTTCTGGCTGTGATGGCTTATGATCGCTTCTCAGCCATTTGCTCACCTTTTCTCTATACTGTACGTATGTGTCATCAGGCTTGTGTTCGTTTAGTGTTTGGCTCCTATCTCTGTGGGTGCATCAACTCCATGATACAAACAGGGTTCACATTCAGTTTGCGCTTTTGTGGAGAAAACAGACTGGACCACTTTTTCTGTGATGTCCCTGCCTTGATCAAGATCTCATGTGTTGACACCTTTGTGAATGAGATTGTGCTGTTTATTCTCTCTGCTCTCATCATCATCACCACCACGACTGTCATTCTGATTTCCTATGCTTACATCCTCTCCACTGTCCTGAAGATCCCCTCGACCCATGGCAGAAGCAAGACCTTTTCTACTTGCAGCTCTCACATTACTGTGGTGAGTTTATTCTATGGAACTGTGTTCTTCATGTATGCCCAACCTGGGGCCATCTCCTCACCAGAGAAAAGCAAGATTATAGCTGTCTTCTACACTCTTATCATCCCTATGCTAAATCCTCTGATTTATAGTCTAAGAAACAGAGAGGTGAAAAATGCTTTGAAAAAGATATTTTTGAGAAAAATATCTTTACACTGACCTAGTCATCTATAAAACTGTGGAATCAACTGAAAGCAATATTAACAAAATTTGATATGAAATAGTTTTAATGAAAAACTCCTAAATTTTGAATATTAAAGTCTTTTTTCATTTTTTGTTATCATTAGACTTTTAAAAAAGAATTCAGTCAATGTAGATTGTTCACATTTCTATATACTTATTTTATAGTGTGATATCTAAGTATTACATTGAATAGCTGTTCTAATTTCCTTTAACTTTGTTGTATACAAAATTGCAACTAAATTATAGTACTAATAAATTAATATATTAATGCACACATCAAATTTATTAATAACGTATTTATAAATCAATAGATATTTTAGATATATCTGTATAATATCTATAAAACCAAATATATGAATATTGACATGTTCATTTATTTGTTGGATGGGGGAAGGAGATACACTGCTGAATGTTCTGCTACTTTTATTTTATTTAGCTCATAATCGATTTTCAATTATCCAGCTCTTTGCAACTGAGAATCAAAAGTGCTGTGAAAATGAAAACTATTGGCTTTTCCAAATATCTATTCTAAAAGGCAGTACCAAATATTACACTAATAATATTGTTAAATTATCTAAATCTTAATGATTTCATCAAAAATACAAATAAATACATGGATGTGTTATAATTGCCATAAAATTATTTAGTAATAGTAGTCTTAATAATATATATTTGGTATATAAAATACTAGTTATGCTTTTTTGGCCTAATTATTTTATAATTTGTTTTTGTATCATTTTCACAACTTATATGTTGACTGAAAATTTTATTTTTCTTTAGATTTGAAAAGCTATTTTCATGGAGTTACATTAAATATTGTTGCATAATAATTTAATCCTTTTAAAGTCTGTGATTATGCATACTTTCTATTTTTAATCCTGACAATTTAGTCCTATTTTCATAACTTAATTAAACTTGCCAAGGACTTGACTTTGTATCATGAGAAGTTTGAGTTTTGTCGCTAGATGGTGGTACTTTGGTAAATCACAACACTTTGGGAGGCTGACCTACATGAGAAGGTTCTGATTTTTTTCCCAGAGACCTCCCTGAGTACACTGGGCACATATGTGTCATGTTCTAGAGCTGCCTGGGACTGAGAGTGGATCGTAGGACTGAGATCGTGTTTGGGGTGCTGCCTTTCTGTCTCATTTGCTCAAAGAAGAAATAAAATGAAAGTAAAGTTTACAAAAAAACAATTTTGAGTTTCATATGTATATGTAAAAGGTTTATTTATCTTTAAATTTTATTTATTTAATTTTATTTATTATTTTTATTTTTTTTTAATTTTACCAGAGAGAGACAGAGAGAGACAGAGAAGGGTAAAGTGAGAAGGCAAGCCACCAAGTCCAGGACTCAAACTGTTTTTGGCCATGTGCAATCCAGTGCCTTAACCATCACACCACCTGCCGGTCCCCATTTCAAAGTATTTTATGGTGTGCCATCTAGTTAATACATACTTTTATGATTTTGTTTTAAGTGTATTCAAAGTTGCAATGCATGGGGCCCAGCAGATGGCGTAATGGTTAAGTTGCTGGACCTCCACATTTGTCGACTGCGATTTGAATCCTCTATCTGGTGGCTTAAAACACACCAAGTGTGTCTATATGTGTGCCCCAAATCCAGAGAGGAGAATGGAGGAGAAGGGATTGCAGCCTGCCAATCTCCCCAGGGAGTGATTTCTTGCTTTCTGTCTCTCTCTCTCTCTCACTGGGAATGCATACATCTCGCAGCAAAAATCTTTCTAAAAAAAATGTTGTAATGCATGAAAACAATACAACTAAATTAATGCATGCATTACATTTATTGATATAATATGGGCACATATACCTTTATATCTACGTAATTATTGTAATGTCTTAAGATCTCATTTTATTAGCTGCCTTTTTCTGAATTTATATGTTTAATGTTTGATACTTTATTTCTAATTTTTATTTTAATTATGTTAAACTCTTGCATAGTTTTCAATTTTTTTTAGTTTACTATTTAGTTTTTTTTGTATTAATATTTTCTTTCACTCAAAGATATTTAGATAAGGTTTCTAATTTCAGTATAGTTTAGCGATTTAGGCACTTTCTTTTTATTGTTCATTTCTAGTTTTATTATTATAAAATCAGAGATTTAGGGGCCAGCAGGTGGTATGGTAGTTGACACTAGACTTCCACATGGCAAACCATGATTTGAGTCCTGGACCTGACACCTTGAAAATCACACTGGACATGTGTACTTGCATGCCCAAATTCTCAGAATGAGAATAGAGGAGAAAGGATTGTGGCATAGCCATCCCCTCTAGGGGTTGATTTTTCACTTTCTCACTGCTTCTCTCTGTCTTTCTAATGAGCATACACGCTCCATGGCAAAAACAAACAAACAAAACAAACAAACAAACAAAAATTTCTGAGAAAAAATTCAGAGATTTAAAATCAAGCAAACTTTTGGTAACATTTATGTAGTTATAATGCTTGCTTGAAAGATACATTTTTGTTAATATTCTATTAATTTAAGCAAAGAATGCCCATCCTCTTATTTATTATCAAATTTAATCTTAAGGTGTATTAAATAGGGAACCAGGAGTTAGCGTAATGGCTATGTTGCTGGACTCCCACGTAGTCGACTGCGGTTCGCGTCCTGGACCCGGTGGCTTAAAACTCACGCCGGGCGCGTGTGCGTGCGTGCCCAAGATCCCGAGAGGAGAATGGAGGAGAAGGGATTGCGGCGTGACCATCCCCCCTGGGGGGTGATTTCTCGCTTTCTATCTCTCTGTCTCTCTCTGTCTGGCGAGCGCACGCGCCCTATAGTGAAAAACCTCTCAAAAAAAATTTAATCTTAAGGTGTATTAAATAAAATAAAAATTACACTATAGGCAAGATGTTCTCCTACCAAGTAGTGATGGTATACAATTAGAACATGTAGAGTCACATTCACCATAGTAACTGATTAGAAGACTAATTGCCCCAGGGGTCAGTGATGGTGCAGTGGTTAAGGTGGCCATATTCAAGTCCCAGGCCTGGTGGTTTGAGAGGCATACTGAGTGCATGGGCATACATGTTCCAGATCCCAAAATGAGGGAGAAATAGAGGAGAAGGGATTATGGCATGACCATTCCTCATTAAGAAGGGGAGCATTCTCATTTTCTCTCTGTCTCATGCTCTTTCTCTTATCTCTATCTCAAATTAGTGCATGTATCCTCTGGCAAATTAAAAAAAAGTGGCTAATGCTCCAATTCAATCATTACACATTGTGTTCATATACTGAAAAGACACATTGTGCCCCATATGTGCAATTATTAATGTTAATTAAAAATAATTTAGAAAACATTATCTCAGAGGTTGTGGAAAAAATTCGATACATTTTTTAGAAACACCATCTATTGTATTTTTAATTAACAACATATTTCTCATTATTTAACTGAACTGTGCCTAGAGACTTTGAACTTCAAAAATCAAACTGCATCAAGAGGATCTATTCTGGGACCAGGACTATGATTTGGGGCTGTTAGATATCCAGCAGTTTTGGTCTCTTCTAAAAGAGTTCAGCTTTTTTATTTTTTTAAAAAAGGGATCAAAGGGAGATTGGAGCATAAAAATGAGAGTAATTTTTTAAAAATATCATCCTTAAAAGTATAACTGTCTTGTTTGGAGAGGGAATGTCCCTTAGACATTTGATACATTTTAACATCAGATTATTAACAAACTTAACAATTTACAAAGAGATAAATTTCATTTAACTGATAAAATATATACGTATATGAAAAGAATAAACTCACATTCTCCTTTTTTTTAAGCTTACTAATTTCTTAAATGAGTGAGACACAGAGAGAGAGAGAGAGTGAGGGAGACAGGCAGCACCTCCCATAGTGTCTTGACACTATGATCCACCCCCAGTCATCCCAGATCACAGAGATGCTGAATACTCTCTGAGTATTCAAGGCCCTCTTTAGAGATGAACCTGGAACCTTCTGATATGGATCAGTTTAACAGGGTGTCTTGTGTTATCACTATACAACCATCTAGTTATAAACACCACTCTAAATGGACAAATAGTAAAAGCATTTTCTTTAAAATTAGAAAAAAGACAAATTGTCCATTACCTCTGATATAGATCAGAAATTTAGCCCATATGATACTATAATAAATAAAATTAAAAGTGTAAGAGAGTAAATGTAGGATTAAACTGTCCTTTACAAGATCATTTATAAAAATGCCTAGGTTAATGTGCAAAAATCACTTTTCCAATGAGAAATTCTTCTGTCCTTCAGGGAGATGCCAAGAAATGGGATTGCTGGATCATATGGCAGTTCTATTTGTAGATTTTTAAGGAATCTCCAAATTGTTCTCCACAGTGGTTGGACTAATTTACATTTCCACCAGCAGTGTAAGAGAGTTTCCCTTTTCACCACATCCCTGCCAACACTTATCATTCTTTTTTTTTTTTTATTTTTTTAATCTTTGTCATTCTGACTGGGGTTAGGTGGTATCTCACTGTTGTTTTGCCCTGCATTGGAAAAGTGCTTGCACATCAATGTTTATTTTGGCACTTTTCACGATTGCTGAGACATGGAACCAACCCAAATGCCCTCGTATGGCTGAATGGATTGAAAAACTGTGGCACGTATACTCTGGAATACTATTCAGCCATTAAGAACAACAAAACCCTGGCTTTTGACAGAAAGTGGCTTTTGACAGAATATGGAAGATTTACTGCTGAGTGAAGCAAGCCAGGCTATGAAGGAGAGACTCTGTATGTCCCCACATAATATATACCGAATGTCCACACTCTATAACTGAAACTGACGGACTAAAGGATGTACAAACACAAGAGGTGGATGTGAATGCAAGATGCGGTGTGTGTGGAGGAGTGGGACCTGGGGAAGAACATTTGGAGTAGGGATACGAAGACAGCATTGTTGAGACAGGGAGGTAGTGTAGTTATATTTTTATCAACTCGACCGGGGAGAAATGTCCTTATATTGAAATGAT